CCCCAGAGACCCCAAAATCCCCCCCAGAGACCCCAAAATCCCCCCCGGAGACCCCTCCCAGTTCCCCCCAGTCCATTCCCAGTGCTCCCAGTCCATTCCCAGTTCCCTCCCAGTGCTCCCAGTCCATTCCCAGTCCATTCCCAGTTCCCTCCCAGTCCCTCCCAGTGCTCCCAGTGCTCCCAGTTACCCTCAGGGAACACGTGCACCTCTCTCCCAGTGCTCCCAGTCCATTCCCAGTGCTCCCAGTCCATTCCCAGTGCTCCCAGTCCCTCCCAGTCCATCCCAGTTACCCTCGGGGAACACGTGCACCCCTCTCCCAGTGCTCCCAGTCCATTCCCAGTGCTCCCAGTCCATTCCCAGTGCTCCCAGTCCATTCCCAGTGCTCCCAGTCCCTCCCAGTCCATCCCAGTTACCCTCGGGGAACACGTGCACCCAGTCCCCCTGGTTGAGCCTCTCCAGGATGAAATCCATCCCCCGCTGGTACACGCCGTCCCCTGCGCACCAGTTTGGTACTGGGAGCCTCCCAGTATGGACTGGGAACCGCCCAGGGCCTCCCAGTATGGACTGGGAACCGCCCAGAGCCTCCCAGTATGGACTGGGAATCACCCAGGGCCTCCCAGTATGGACTGGGAACCGCCCAGGGCCTCCCAGTATGGACTGGGAACCACCCAGGGCCTCCCAGTATGGACTGGGAATCACCCAGAACCTCCCAGTTACCCCCCAGTATGGACTGGAGACAGACCAGTGCTCCCAGTCCCATCCCAGTGCTCCCAGTCCATCCCAGTTCCTGTTCCAGTGCTCCCAGTCCATCCCAATCTCATCCCAGTCCCTCCCAGTATGGACCAGTTCCCCCTAATTCCATCCCAGTCACTCCCAGTCCCATCCCAGTCCCTCCCAGTCCCCCCCAGCCCCATCCCAGTGCTCCCAATCCACCCCAGTCCCTGTCCCAGTGCTCCCAGTCCCCTCCCAGTTTGCTCCCAGTCCCTCCCAATCCCCTCCCAGTCCCCTCCCAGTCCCTCCCAGT